ATGAAAGCTTCATGATTCTAGTGTTGCAATCTAAAAAAAGTAGTTTTTCTTTTGTAGAATAGTTTTGTGAATGGCATTTCAATTCCAGATGACGGTATTTAAACTGATCCTTAGAAATGTATTCTTCCGGTAGTACAGCCATGGAGACTTGTTTGCAGGTAACACACTCTTTTCAAATGTGTATCTTTCTTAAATATACTTTGCTTATGCAAAATACGTTTTTAAAAAGTTATTGCTGATTGGTTTACACAGATATGGTTGAACTAGTTTGAACTGGTTCATGCTACTTCCTTATGCTTTGTCTATTTTTCGTTATACTTAGAACCCATAAAATATCTGGTAAATGGCTGTAGTGTGCTCCCTTGTGGGTATAGATGGTAGTTATTTTGTAATTCTTTGTACAGTACTATATTATTACTGAATTGAATGACAACTTAATTGGTAAAAAGCCAGCTTGCGTGGAGTGTACTTATTTTTATTAAATGTTATTTGGTGGTGGCAATTTAAATGTAATGTTTGCATGTTGGATTTCTCACCTATATACAAAATAACAGAAGTATTTGAGAAATTTGTCTCAGATTCTCTAGTTTATGCCTAAAAACACTGTGTATATACATAGACAATTACTAAGTTCTTAATGTATGGAATCTCATTTAATCATGACTACAACCTCTGTGGCAGGTACTGATAATGATACGCCCTTTTTAAGATTGCTGAAACCAATGTTAGGAAACTTGCCCTGTGTCACATAGTAAGCACATGGGAGAGCTGGAATTCAAATCCATGTCTTCTGTCTGCAGAATTCATGTTCTTAGTGGGGTTATTGAAAATTATGAAAATACACATTTTTTTAGAGGAATGCTTGCTTTTAATGCAACTCGCAATAACTGTCAGGTATCCATGTAACAGCTGACAAATGTGGATATTATGAGGTCAGAGTCCAAAAGAATTGCAGCTCAGGTCTAAAAATATTTAAAAAGTAACCATACTCCTTAGGTTATAAATTTAATTATTTTCTGTCTTTGAAGTCAGCAAGAAAAAGTGATTACAAAATTTGCATTGTATCTTCTTTGCAGAAAAATTTCCAGTTAGTATGAGTTCGGAATGTATAGTGGGTGGGGAAAAAACTTGAAGTTTTAATGTTAGACTGTAATGAATAACCCTTAAAATAGTGCCTATGATAATTTTGCAGTAAAGCTTCTGTTCAATTGAAAGGTAATTTTCCTGAATAGTTTTACTGAGTTCCATAATTAAAAGTCTAGGAAGACTAGGAAATACATTATAAGTAATTGGCTTAAAGTGAACAAATGAATGCAGAACGTACCACAATCTAGAAGTACTGTAATAAAAGTGGTAGGTTTTCAAGCTGTATTGACCTCTGGCAGATAGGCTAGGCCATTGTTTTATGCCTTTCAGCCAGAAGAACTATAGAACACCAGAATCAGACCTGTAATTGAACAAGTTGGATTTATTACTTGTTGCAGTGAGGGAGAATGCTCATCCTTGGGGAAACTGTGAGGCACATCGGTAAGGGATATTAGAAAAAAACCTAGTATAGGATTTGGGTTTAGTGTAGTAGAGATTGGGTTATTTGGGGGCGAGTTTGAGGAAATAGAGCCTTACTCTGGATTGGGTGCTGTCAAAAAGTGGAGGCAATTTGGGGCGCCTGAGTGGCTCAATCAGTTAAGTGTCTGACTTCGGCTCAGGTCATGATCTTGCAGTCTGAGGGTTCAAGCCCTGCTCCCAGCTGTGTGCTGACAGCTCAGAGCCTGGAGCCTGCTTTGATTCTGTGTCTCCCACTCTCTGACCCTCCCCTGCTCATGCTCTCTGTCTCTCCCTCTCTCTCAAAAATAAATAAACATTAAAAAAAGTTAAAAAAAAAAGTGGGGGCAATTCTATGCTTGGTTATCTCAATAAATCTCTGTAGGGAGGACAGACTACAGTTAGGATAAAGATGTAATTAAAAAAAATTAGGCATCACTCATTTGGAGGGAGAGGTTGCACAGTGTTGATAAAAAATAATTAGGCATCACTCTCAGAGAGGGAGAGGTTTGATATTTCATGGGTTGCACAGTGACCTTGTCTAATTTGGGTGATTTTATGTACAGAAGGAGAACAACATGGCTTAGCTGTAAGCATCAAGTCAATTTATAATAATGAGATCTAGTTGTAAGTGTCAGGTAAGTTCCCAGATGTCAGAGGCTGCTTTTTTCTCCCTCTCCAGCTAAAGCAAGTGTATCTTACCATCATTCCTACAGGTAATGGTGATGATAAATGAATATACAGTATGAAAGCAATATTCTTGCTTCCTGTATATCTTAGTCCTTAAAAGACTTCTGTTTTATTCCGTTGGAAACTGGTTACATTGTTTTCTCCAGGACCGAGTCCTTGCACTCTTTCTTGCTTGCCTTACTGCACTGGCTAGATGTTAACATACAAATGGTATTAGAGAACATCCTTGTTTTGGTTCTGATCTTATTTCACCGTTACTTATGATATCTGTAGGGTGTTTTTTTTTTTTCCAACGTTTATTTATTTTTTTTGGGACAGAGAGAGATAGAGCATGAACGGGGGAGGGGCAGAGAGAGAGGGAGACACAGAATCGGAAACAGAGATAACTTTTATTATATTTGTTTTCTTCTAAGTTTTTTGGGAATTTTAATTTTTTTTATTTAAAAAAAATTTTTTTTTAACATTTATTTATTTTTGAAACAGAGAGAGACAGAGCATGAACGGGGAGGGGCAGAGAGAGAGAGGGAGACACAGAATCGGAAGCAGGCTCCAGGCTCTGAGCCATCAGCCCAGAGCCTGACGCGGGGCTTGAACTCACGGACTGCGAGATCATGACCTGAGCTGAAGTCAGACGCTCAACCAACTGAGCCACTGAGAATTTTAATTTTGAGTCAGTGTTGAATTTTGTCAAATGAATGGTCTGTGTCTGTTGATGATCTGGTGTTTATTTTCACTATTCTGTTTTTGCAGTGAATCACATTCCTTGAAGTTTCTTTTTTCCCCCTTTTGTTAAATAGGGAATTTATAGTCTCATAGTTCTGAGGCTAGAAGTCTGAAATCAAGGTGATCCAGGGCCCTGCAGGAACTAGGAATTAAAGAAGGATCTATTCCAGACGTCTCTCCTACCTGTGATTTGTGACAGCTTAACTCCAATTTTTACATGGCTCTCTGTGTGTGTATCTGTATCGAAAATTTCCCCTTTTTATAAGGATACCAATCATTAGGGCCCACCTAATGACCTTATTTTAACTTGATTACCTCTGAAAAAGTATCTAAATAAGGTCACATTCTGAGGTATTGGGGCTTAGGGTTCTAATTTTTTATCAAATGGACACCTTGGTTGGGCCTGAATAAAGCCATAATGCTTCATGACTCATAATCTACATTGCTTGATGTTTTTTTTAGTATGAGACCAACTTCGTATTTTTTTAAGGAGTTTCACATAGTCATATTACTTTTTAAAGAAACTTCTAACTACTTTTAGAGAAACTCACATGTGAAATAATAAGTCACAGTGGAAATTAGAGAATATTTTAACAGAGCAACAATGAAAATATGACACATCAAAATATGAGATGCAGCTAAAGCAACGTTAAAAGGGAAATTTATAGCTTTATGTGTATTACAAAAGAGGAAAGATAGAAAATTAACAATTAATGTTTAACATGATGTGGAACTGCCAGACTATTTTCCAAAGCAGCTATACCATTTTATAATCCCACCAGCATTGTGTGAGGGTTTCAGTTTGTTTGCTTCTTACCTATACTTGTTATTCTCATAGCCATCCTGCTATGTGTGAAGTGTTATGTCATTGAAGTTTGATTTACATTTCTCTGATGACTAATAACATTGAGCATTTTTTCATTTTTAGTGCTTATTGGCAGTTTGTCTATTGGCAATTTGTATGTCTTTAATTAATTAATTAATTAATTTTTTAAGTTTTAATGTTTATTTAGTTTATTTTTTGAGAGACAGAGAGTGAGTGGGGGTGGGGCAGAGAGAGAGAGGGAGACGCAGAATCAGAAGCAGGCTCCAGGTTCCGAGCTGTCAGCACAGAGCCCGATGCGGGTCTCAAACCCATGGACCGTGAGATCATGACCTGAGGCGCAGTCTGACGCTTAACCCACCAAGCTACCCAGGCACCTCATCAATTTATATGTCTTTTAGAGAAATGTTTATTCAGTTCCTTTTGTCCATTTTTAAGTTGGGTTACTTTTGTTGTTATTCAGTTGTAATAGTATTTAGTATTTTTTAGATGCAAGTCTCTTAGATACATATTTGCAAATATATGATTTATAAATATTTCCTATTGTGTGAGTTGTCTTAGCAAATTTTTGATGATAATCTCTTGTAAATATGTTTATAGTACTGTTAATCTAGATATGCCTGGTTGCAAATGTAATCTTTCCTCCTGTGTTCCTTAGTTCTCTTCTCTTTTTCCTTATCTTTGTACCTCTTTCCCATTCCTCTGCTTTCATTCTCTTACACTTTTCTTTTTCCATCTACTTTTTTACTGCATTTACTTTTTTTATGCTAATGTATCTCCTCCAGACTCTGAATCCATTAGCTTACTAAGAATTAAAACTAGAAACTAGTCACTTTTTTCTTTTACTTTTTTTTTTTTTAATGGTATGAATGGTCATTATTGTTTGCAATGGAAAGTGGAAGAGGAGGGAACATGACAGTTCCAGCTCCAGGGGTGGCTCCAAAGACCTCCTCTTTTGCTGTCCCCCCAAAAAAGCAAGTCATTTTTTTTTCCTAATGCTTCTTAATAATTGATCTTCTATGGACTGTACCTGTCATCAATTTTATATTACATAAATCCAATTAATACGAAAATTAACACAGCAGGGATTATTATGCTTTGTATATCATTATTTCAAAATTACATGAAAGGCTGCTTGCTTATAAGATCAATTTGCAATTTGTCTTATGATTAGGTGGTTTCTGTTTTCATTATTAAACTTTCTTTCTTTCTCTTTTTAAAGATTCAAAATGGATAGTATAGAAGAACCTCAGAAAAAAGTCTTCAAGGCTCGAAAAACAATGAGAGTGAGTGATCGTCAGCAGCTTGAAGCAGTGTACAAGGTCAAAGAGGAACTGTTGAAAGCTGATGTCAAGCTATTAAATGGCAACCATGAAAATGGAGATTTGGACCCAACTTCACCTTTGGAAAATATGGATTATATTATTGACAAGGAGGAGGTGAATGGCATTGAAGAGCTTTGTTTTGACCCTGAAAAAAGTAAATCAGAATGGAAAGAAACCTCCTGTACCTTAAATGTTAATGTAAAAAATAAGCAGGATGATGACTTAAAGCATGAACCTTTGTCTCCTAATAATATAGCTCCTGAACTAGTCTGTAAACTGGCTGCTGAACCATCTTCTGATGAGCCAGCCTCTGGTGATCTGGCTATGGGAGATCCAGCTGCTGGAGACTCAGCCCCTGAAGATCTGGCCTCTGAAGTACTAACCTCTGGTGATCCTGCCTGTGGCGATCCCACTTCTGGTGATCCCACCTCTGGTGATCTCACCTCTGGCGATCCCACCTCTGGTGGAATAGTCTCTGGTGAAACAGTCTCCAGTGAACCATTCTCTGGTGACTTGGTCTCTGGTGAATCAGTCCCTGGTGAATCAGTCTCTGCTGAGCCAGTGTCTAGTGATCCGGCCTCTGATGATTCAGCCTCTGGTGATCTGTCCTCCGAAGCCCTGGCCTCTGATGATCCAGCCTCTAGTGATCCGGCTTCTGGTGATCCAGCCTCTGGTGATCCAGCTTCTGGTGATCTGCCCTCTGACGAACCCACTTCTGATGAACTGACTTCTGAATCAGCCTTTGATCCTACCTTTGAACCAAGTTCTGTACCAGTTTGTGAATCTGTTCCTGAAACTGACATTACAGAGCCTAGTAGCAATAAAGGTGGTGATTTTCTTGAGAAAAATAGTGATGATGGAAAGTTAGACCAAATTTTCTCATTTGACGAGAAAAATAAGGCTGATAATAATGTTGATGGCGATGAAGAAACTCTAGAAACAGATGATACAGTTATTTGTTCAGATCTACCTCCTGAAAATGAAAAGAAGGTAAAGGAAGATACTGTCACAGAACCTGCTCTTGGAGAGGAGGCTATATCTAGCAGTATGGAAATTGACCAAAGTGAAAAGAATGAAAATGAAAATTCTGCAGACCTTTCAGAAACCATTAGTGAAAATGTTACAAAAGATGAGAAAAATGAGATTATCTTGGAAAACACAGATTCTATGGAGACAGATGAAATTATTCCTATTTTGGAAAAGCTTGCACCTGCCGAGGATGAACTTACTTGCTTTTCTAAAACTTCTCTTCTTCCAATTGATGAGACAAATCCAGATTTGGAAGAGAAGATGGAAGGTTCTTTTGGTTCACCATCCAAACAAGAAAGTAGTGAGAGTTTGCCAAAAGAAGCCTTTTTGGTCCTTTCTGATGAGGAGGATATTTCTGGTGAAAAAGAGGAGTCTGAAGTTGTACCACAAAATGAAACATGCTCTCCAGGTTAGCATATTACTTAAGTTTTATAAAGATTTTGATTAGGTTTGATAAACTGCTTAATAAAGCAGTTTTACAAAGTTAAAAATTTTTTTTAGTTGCTGAGAAAGTTGAGAACGATGGTGACTGGAATGATCTCTTAACTTCATAGATTCTTAACAGAATTTAGATTTACAAAGTATCTACTCTGAGAGCAATATTATGTGAAGTGACAAGAAGGGAGGTACAATAATGGGAAAATATGGCTCTTGCCCTTAAGGGGCCTATTGTCTAGGAATAAAGAGATGAGATGGACCAATATAATACTGTGAGATAACAGTTTTAAGTTAGTACATAATTGATCAAAGTCCTAACAATTGGTTTTCCTATCACTTAGCAACCAAGTAACTTAGAGTGGATTAATTTGTTTGCTTCGAGTATAACAAATCACCTTTTACAATTAATTTTCCCATTTTTTGTATTCTTTGTCTGAAAAACAACACCACCATTGCTAAAATCCAGAAACCTTGAAGCCTGATAATCTATTTGATAAAGGCTTCATCTGTTTGCTTTCTGAGCCCTCTTGATTCTACCAACTTACTCTCTTCCTCTGCATCTTCTGAATGATCTCTCTGTAACTTAAGTCTTTTATTTGATTTTGTTCTTCTCTTTCATTGGGTCCCTGTTACTTTTAGGTTAATTCCAAACCCTTTATATGTAAGTATATAAGCTTCATAATTTGTTCAAAGCCTATCTTTCCATCTCTTTTATTATTCCTAGAGAAAAAGGAAAGAATGAGAAAAATCCTATTTTTGCTTTCATGGTCAAACTCAAATATCACTTCCGTTTGAAACTTCTCAGTTCTTTTCAGAGTGGCATGAATACCTTTATGTCCTTCTCTTTGCCTTAGAACTCTGTGAGAGGAGTGACCTTGTAGCGTTAAACACAGCATTTGGTTTCTAGTTTGTTCAAAAGAAGAAAAAGAGGCCTAGGAGACTCAGGGGATGTTTTTTTCCCCAATAGATCATACCAATTTTTGGAGGTAGAGATTTTTTTGTTATTAAAAGATGACTTCATTTCCAAAGAGTATTTATTCATTTATTAAAGCTGTCTAGAGAGACAGGCCAAGCTCTTCTTGGTTCTGGGGATTTAAAGATAAAATTTAGTACTTGCCTTTAGGATGCAGACAAGAATTCAATCACAGGACATTAAATAAAGGCTGTGAATACAGTTAATAATGTTAAATTGGTATTCTGGGAGTTTATAGAAGGGTAACTTTATAAAAACATAAATGTATTCAGGAAAGCACTTTCCTTTCATTGTCTGCATAATATAGGGTTTTAGTGAAGATAATCCCACTTAATTGCATGTCCATCCTACTTGCTCAGGCCAAAAATCTTGGAGCCATTCTTGTTTTTCTCTGTATTCCATATCCCATCAGTCCATCAGGAAATCCTGTTGCCTCTACCTTCAGAATAGATGTAGAATCCAGTCTGTTATCATCCACTACTGTCCCCCTTGCTCTGAGCCACCGTCATCAGGTCAAAATAATGCTCGGGTCAGTGCTCAGTGAATATTTGTGGAGTGAATGAATAATTGGTAATATAAGAGAAGTGTATTATGGAAGACCTTGGTTACAATGCTAACACATTCTAACAGTACTGCGGAGCCATTGAATGATTTCAAGCAGAGGAGAATGATATGATGAGGTTTACATTTTGGAAAGATAAGTAACCATGTTTAGGGTGACCTTAACTCATTCATTCAGTAAGAACTGTTTATAGAGAGGGTGGTATTAGGGCAAGTCCTTAAACCACCTTTTGATAGACTATATAAGAAAGTCATAGCAAATTGCATATTATTATTTCATGAGTTTATACATTTTACCTTTATGTCACGACTTGATATTGGGAACCCTCCTTCCCACTCAATGCTGTTAAATGCCAGGACATGACTATTAAGCCATCCATGTGGTTATTTACTTTTAGACTTTTATCTGATTTTGTGCTATTAGCAGAGTAAGTGTAGTGATAGATTTAATTTCTTAGCTGATAAGTAAACTTTTATTTCCTGTCTTCCCTTCCCCAATCCCCCAAGGAAATTTTGTGTATAGTACGTTGAAGTATATTTTCTTCATTGGTCTTAAAACTGTGCTCTGTTCTCTTTACATGGTAGTGGAATCTGTTATGGTAGTTACAGTAGTCCCCTTTTATCAATGGTTTCATTTTGCATGGTTTCAGTTTTTGCAGTTTTAGTTACCCACAGTCAACCATGGTCTGGCAGCAGATGATTCTTCTTCTGACTTACTGTCTTTAGTATTGACTTTCTGGGTCAGGGGTATTCGAAATCTAGATGGTAATGCCTATGTCATTCACCTCACTTCATCTCATCACATAGGTATTTTATCATTTCACATCATCACAAGAACTGTGTGCAGAACAATAAGATATTTCAAGAGAGACCATATTTATATAATTTATTACTATTATATATAATATATAGCATACTATATATTATATATATAAAATTATATATATATATATTTCACCTCACTTCCTCTCATCACATGGGTATTTTATCATTTCACATCATCACAAGAACTGTGTACACAACAATAGGATATTTTGAGAGAGACCATTATATATATATATATATATATATATATATATATATATATATATATATATATATACACACACATATATGTATACTTATATACAATATATAATTATATATGTTATATACTATATATTATGTTATATATAATAGTGTATGCTATTATAATTATTTTTAGTTACTGTTGTTAATCTCCTGTACCTGATTTATAAATTAAATTTTATCATAGGTGTGTATGTGTAGGAAAAAAATGTATAGGGTTCAGTTCTATCCATGGTTTCAGACCCTCACTGGGGGTCTTGGAACATAGCCCCTGCAAATGAGGAGGGACTGTAGCACATGTCATTTTTGTTGCTTTGTACCTTCTGAGGTATTACTTTCATTTTTCAATTCTTGACTAATTTTTAATGTTTTCAGAACAGAGTTATAAATTGAAGTACTGAACTCTGGCTCTTCCCTCTAGCTACTAACGTTTATTTGCTGTACTAACAGGAAAATATAAACCTCTGTCATTTCAGGCACTTTAGCAAATTTGTCTTAAATATAGCAGTTATGATGGCTATGAGCAGCAACAAAAAATAATGAAAGATACCAGAAAGCAAATAGAAAACCATTTTAATTTTACAATAGTAAAAGAAAGACCTAAAAAGTATTGCAGATATACTGAGTAGGCCTGAAGACACTGTCATATTGTTGCATAGTACTGTATGATAACTGATGTTTACCAGATGACTAAAATCATAATCTGTTTATTAAGAAGGCTAGGAAAATAAAAATTTCTCTCTGGAAAAGTTCAGGCAGCAGTAGAGGAGGTACACATAATAGTTTGTCTTTCATTCACTCTTACGTTATGGACTCTTTTTTCTCTAGCTCCTATTCCATCTTTTTCCTCTCTTTCAGAGCCGTTCTTCAAGTTACAGTAATAGGCTAACACTATATTTTCCTTTTCCTAATTACTCTTTAGTTGAATTTTGATTTTCATCTTCCAGCATCCCTTCCAAATTGTTATTAGCGAAGTGACATTGATGAACAGGCAATTTATAGAAAAGGAAATGCAAATAGCCAATAAACATAAAGATTCTCAACTTCACAAAGCATATCAGCAAAATGTGGCATTATTGATAAAAGTGAAATTTGTTTTTTGAGTGGTATCATAATTTGGAAAATAAAGACTCTATAAACTTTCATCTCAAGCAGTCCAGCTACTCTGTGTCTCTGGAAACTGGGTACTAAGAAATTCAAGAATCACCACCCTCAGTATTAAAATCAGGAGGATTTGGAAAACTATATATAGGAAAATAATGCTTTGTAATGAGTTTGTGATCTATAAGGGAGCAAAACAAATTTTCATTTCATTGAAACTGGAGTTGAAGGATAAGATCTTAAGATATTTCCAATGAGCATAGTAAATGGAGAGTTAATTTTCTAATGCTTTTTATTTTTTTTAATTTATTTTAAAGTTTATAAATTGGTTTAGTAGGGGCACCTGGCTGGCTCAGTGGGTAGAGCATGTGATTTTTGATCTCAGGGTCATGAGTTCAAGCCCCATGTTGGGCATGGAGCTTACTTAAAAAAATAGTCTTAATAATCTTTATGTGCTCTGTTAACTGTTTTGTTTTGACTATAGTCATGGTTTACAGCTTTATTGTTTTACCTTAGCGTGAAAAAAATATTCTTAAGGGTCTTATTAATAGGTTCATCAATGATCCTGTTTTCACCTAAAAGGTCTTTTCAGTCATTTTAGCCTTGACTTCTACCATCAGGTTGTTGGGATTTAAACTTTGCTGTTTGGAGAAGAAATGCCATATCAAAATCTTTATATAATGCTATATTTCTTGTGATTACTTATTTAATTTTGGTTGCAGAATATGAGGAAACACCATGCATTATTGAAACCACTGGGGAGCCAGTTGCAGTGATGTAAGGAGGAAAAATAGAAACCCAAACATGTTAGTGAATTGTTCTTCTCCCCCATTTGATGTTTATGTTAATTGAGGAGATATAGATTCATTTACTAAAGACCCTTCTGGTACCTCTGGGATTTTATTTGTGTTAATAATGCAATTGTATAGACATTTTTAGCAGTATTTTTTGGTAGCATTCTTTAGTTATATTTTATTATATGCCTTATGAAAATTTACCTTTTTGTACATTGGACTTTTCTCATCTATATGATGGCAGAAATAATGTATAGGATTATACTAAGGATATGAAGTAATGTATGTCATGCACTTAACTCAGTTGTTGGCACTGGCATCAATTAAATTAAGCTTTCTTTATCTTTAGGGTAGTTTTTCCATTTCCATTTTATAAACTATCTCATATCCATTAAAATAACTTAATGATTTAATTTGTCTCATTAAAATTTTAGGTGTTTTGAATTTGCCAGTACTTTGTAATTTTTTTTGTAATTGTCACAACTACTACAGTACTTTAGTTTTAATAATTGAATGTAATGGAGTCTAAATGCTTTATAATAGTTTTCACATTTTATTAATCTGCCGTCGACAGTAAATTACTAAGTCAATTCTTTGTTTTAAAATCTATAGTGTGAATTTTCTTCCACATTAAGAGCTTTTAAAAGTGGACTTGGTCATTCTGTGCTCTCTTTTTATTCCTAAAATGTCACATTTGAGACCGATTTTATTTTATTAAAAAACAATTTTTTTTTACATTTATTTATTTTTGAGAAACAGAGTGAGACAAAGCATGAGCGGGGGAGGGGCAGAGAGAGAAGGAGACACAGAATCCGAAGCAGGCTCCAGGCTCTAAGCAAGCGGTCAGCACAGAGCCTGATGCAAGGCTCGAACCCATAAACTATGAGATCATGACCCAAGCCAAAGTCAGACGTTCAACCGACTGAGCCACCCAGGCACCCCAAGACTGATTTTATAAAAGTTTATTGACAGGATAGTTAATACCAAAGTGTAAATTACAATGAGCTGCTATGAATGCCAATGTAAGTAAGATTTCCTTTTTTATTTTTGTTATAGCAGAAGTAGAAACTAATGAAAAGGACAGCAAACCTGAGGAAGAAGAGCAAGTAATAAATGAAGATGAAAGACCTTCTGAGAAAAGTAAGCATGTACAAAAAACTTGAGCTGTTTAAAAAAAATAGTAATTCAATGTTTCTTCTTTTAAGGCTCTGAAATATACTTTAATTTCCATGAGATGACTTAAAAAATGTTTTTAGTTTAAGTGAAACACAGTTCAATCATTTTCTTGAGAGCTAACCCAAGGATTTTTGAAAGTATTATTTCATATACTTCAGTGTTTTATTTATACTTTTCATTGTTCCATAAGAAAGATTTAAGCTTAATATTTAGTAAAGTACTATCTGAATGTCTTGAGATAAATTGGGTAAGATTTATATTTAGAGCATGGGACTAATAATTTTCTCAGGAGTAATATAAACAAATGAAATTATGTATCTTAGTCTCCTTAAGGTACTTAAGCTTCATGGGATGGGGAATTGATTGAATGGGGTGTCATTAGGTTTATAAGATTATCATGGGGTTAGAAGTCAGGATACCTAGGTTCTATATCTTTCCCTGTCATTCTGGTTTCCATGTATGACATATAAGTTATGATTACAAGAGAAGTTATAGAAGAGAATTGGATTTTAAGAGTAGGCACATAGTTATATGGATATAGAGAAAAGTGAAGAGGGATAGTTATGGTTACATAAGGACATTTCCATTTAATAAGTGGAGATTTTAGTATTTTTACTTTTTATGTATTGAAAAAGAAACCAGGTAATAAAATTTGCTTATGATCTCATGAATGTTACCAATATATGAAATATAAAATTTTTAAATGAAGATCTTTGAATATCTTTACCAAATTGACTTTTATAATGACATTAATTTTATTTTTATTTAGTTGACATTCATTAGAATATATTAAGAATAACTATTCTTATGTTATTTTTCTAAAGCTAATGATTAAGAATTTTTTTCTAAATTTACTGAGAAAAAAATATACTTGAAAAGGAAGAATTAAATAATTAAAGCTATGCACAGTTGTTAGAAACCTGTGACATGAGAATGAGTAATATATTTTGTCAAAGGATTCATGTGCACTATGAAGTTTTGGAAAGGGAATGAATATGAGCTGATTTCTCATATCATATCATATTCATATTTTAGGTGATTCTCAAGGAAACAATATTTATGTTTATATTGTACATTGCTCGGCCTTTAAGAAGTTCTTGTTTAGTATATTGAAAATCATTTGAAGCTCAGAGCAAAGAAGCTACCTACTCACTTTTTTTTTTAAGTGTATTTATTTTGAGAAAGAGAGAGAGAATGTGTGCAAGCTGGAGAGGGGCAGAGAGGGACAGATCTCAAGAACAGTGAGATCATGACCTGAGCCAAAATCAAGAGTCAGATGCTTAACCAGCTTAGCCACGAGGTGCCCTTACCACACTTTTCTAATCTCAAAAACAATTCATAAAATAACTGATTGAGAATGGTATTGTTGTGATAGGTAGGAATAATACTTTGCTGAGAGTGGAGAAGAGGCATTAAGGTCTATAATAAAAACCTGATTAATCATTATGCTTTTTGTTCTCAGGTGAATTTTCCAGAAGAAAGCGTTCTAAGTCAGAGGACATGGACAATGTACAGTCCAAACGTCGTCGATACATGGAAGAAGAATATGAGGCAGAATTTCAAGTGAAGATTACAGCCAAGGGAGATATTAACCAGAAGCTACAAAAGGTGTTACAGATTATAAATCAAAAACCGTATTAAATAAAAAACATGACTATTTTGATTCTATTAGGTTTTTGACATTATTCTGTATTTTATTGGTATATTTGGGTTTTTCATAGAGAGAACTTGACAAAAATAGTTGAGCTTATTATTCTCAATAATTTAAAAAACTTTCTGATTCTTTTTTAAGATTTTTTCTTCTATATTGAACTTTATTCTAGTGGAAATATTAGAGTCTTATATGTTAACATTTTAATCTTTGTTACAAGCTGGTTTCATGGTTATAAGTTCCTGTATTGTAAGTCTTTGTTATGTACTTTAGGCTTAGTATTAAAAATGATAGGGACAGAGCTTTAGAATGACTAGGGAAAGGGAGTATTTAAAATGTGGACTTATGAAACGTCAGCCAAATCTATGAAGCTAGAGTTAGAAATACTGAAAATACATAGCATTCGATATATTTTTCAAAATGTGTTAACAGATATGTATGAAAACTGCCTTTTAAAGAAGAATATGAAATTCAGCTGAAATTAATTTTTTAAGGTCTTGTAAATTTAATGATGAAATTATAACTAATCCAGGTTTTAGACTAATGTCCTTCCATTAAAATATAGTATAAATATACACATTGAAAAAAGAATAGTGAGGCAGTAAAAAGTAGCTTTTTTTCCCTTCCAACTTTTAAATTTGTCATATGGAACTAATAATGCTTACTTAGTCTTTTTTATAGCGTTGTTACAAATATGAAGATAGGCATGTGAAAGAATTTTGAAACTTCTATTTGAAACTTCTGTGTACTGAGAGTTTACTCCTCTGCAACAGTATTACTCAAGTATGGGCCGTGGACATGCACTATGTATTATTCTATTTGTTATGGATCCAAAATAAGATAAATATGTAAATTGTGAGTAGGCATTCAGAAATATTTTATAGAAATTTCATAGTGCAGTGACGTTCTTACTGTCTCAAAAATTATCATCTGCAACAGATTAGAAATTTTAAAAACTGGTCCTTTCCTTTAATTGATTTCCTTTGAATCACAGTAGAAGATACAAGAAATAAATATTAAAACTTCAGTTTAAACTTATTTATAAAATTTCACCCTCTCGAAATTTTCTATTTTTAGTATAATTCTATCATAGCAGATATTACATCTGTAGAAGTGCAGGCTTTCAGCAGATGACATTGTGTCATGAATGCCAGCATGTTTTTCATTAAACTAATCAATACCATCAGTACCGTCTTATTAGTACATAAGAATATATACAGTTTGCTGCTTGCTGAAATGCCTTCTTTGCTGTAACAAAGAAATGTGTATCTCTTTAGGTTGTACAGTGGTTGCTAGAAGAAAAATTGTGTGCGCTACAGTGTGCTGTATTTGATAAGACTTTGGCAGAATTGAAAACACGAGTGGAAAAGATTGAATGCAACAAGAGACATAAAACAGTTATTACTGAACTACAGGTTTGTATACTGACTTGAATTGTATACTCGTGTCATTATTTTTATAACTTATTTTTGAGGGCACATTTTCCAAATATTAGAAGTAAAAGTAGTCTCCATTAGTTTCCTAAGGCTGCCATAAAAAAGTACCATAAACTGGTGGCTTAAGCAACAAATGTATTGTCTCATAGTTCTGGAGGTTAAAAGTCTATGATCAAGGTGTTGGAAGAATTGGTTCTATTTGAGGTCTGTAAGAAAGAATCTCTTCCATGTGTCTCCTCTAGCTTCTGATGGTTTACTGACAGTCTTTGGCATCCTTGCTTTGTAGAAGCTTCATCCTGATCACTGGCTTTGTCTTCACATTGCAGTTTACCTGTGTGTGCCCAAATTTCCCCTTTTTACAAAGAAACCGGTTGTTTTGGATTGGGGCCCACCCTACCCCAGTATGACCTTATCTTAACTAATAACCTTTTTAAAGACCATATTTCCAAATTGAGTCACATTATGAGATACTTGGGAGTTCAGACTTCAATGTATGAACTTCTGAGGCACATATACACAGTTCAACCCATAATAGAGCTTCAAACCTATCTTAGTGGTTTTTAAATATTTTTTAGTCACTGAAGAAAGGCTGGTAGTATCTAGCATGGCATAAGTACCAAATAATATTTATTGTAAGTGATTCTGTTTATATTAATCCACTTCCTGCCACAGATCATATGTTATAAAGATGTTAGTTAATTTATATTTGTTAATAATTGCTATTTCATTTTTTATTAAATATAACTATATATTAACATGCAGTGCCAGAGCTTCTAATTGACTGAAATGAACACATGATAACATGCTGTAGTAATTCATTTTATTCCAAAACTAAGAAATTGGAAATTTTTATCAGTACATTCATTCTGTCGTAGGTAAATGTATGGTTTCTATTAGGCTTTTCTGAAATTGGAGCATAGTCTATAGATGATGAGTTTGCAAACCACTTACAGAGGTTTATTGTACAAATGAGGTGGGCGCCTGGGGGGGCTCAGTCATGTAAGTGTCTGACTCATGATTTCGGCTCAGGTCATGATCTCTAGGTTCACGGGCTTGGTCCCCATGCTGGGGACACAGAACCGGCTTGAGATTCTCTTCCTCTCTCTGCCCCTTCCCTATGTGTGTGCTCTCTTTTCTCTCTCTCAAAAACAAAGAAATAAACATTAAAAACAAGCAAACAAATGACGGCAAAGTGGTCCATGAAAAGTGACTGTTTTCTAGTTATAAATTGCATCCAAAAGTGACTAGAATTTATGTATTATATTTCTCAGCCTAAAAGTTCTTTTTCTTGGTTTTATATTGTTAATTTTTTTTGAAGTTAGACTTTTTTTAAATAAGATCTTTGTAGTAATTTTGTAATTTAGAACAATACTAGTCCTCTTTCTTCCTTTAGCAGGTCTTTCTAATAGTAGTAGTGTTGTTTAATGACTAAACTTTATTTTACTAATACTGTTGAGAATTTTCAATTAGAACTTTAAAATGTTTGAAGATTTTAAAAAGTGATTTCATTGTTTCTCATTTTGTGTTTTTAGAACATGAGATTTTGACTCTCATATTCTCATGTAATATGCAAGTCCAGATCTCTTAATATTTAATATACCTTTGCACTTGGTGTTTCTTGGTAGCCGCAGAATCTGAAGTTTTTCAACACCAAACCAAGCTTTCTTCCACAAATAAATCCACTTCCCATTGTTCCTTTTATTTGTAATTCTTGAATTCTTAGAAAAATTTTCCAAGAGTATCTTTCCGTTTTCCTTCTCATTGATAGTTTTTGAGTTCTTAGAAATAGATCTCTCAGTCATTTCACATATACAGTGGGTTATCAAATTATAACTTTTTAATTTCTTATTAATATCTATCTCTGGGGTGCCTGGGTGTCCCAGTCAGTTGAGTGTACGAATCTTGGCTTCAGCTCAGGTCATGTTCTCACAGTTCGTGGGTTTGAGCCCCGCATCTGGCTCTGTGCTGGTGGCACCAGAGCTTGCTTTAGATTCTCTCTTTTAGTATCTCTCTGTCTGCCCCTCCCCTGCTCATACTCTCTCTCTAAATAAATAAATAAGTAAACATTAAAAAAAAATTTTTTTTAAAGCCTATCTTGTTTCTTCTCACTTTCCACAAGGTGCACATCCACTTCTATGTGGATTTTTTTTCAATAAATAATATGTATATATGTATAATATAAATAAATATATAATATATTTATTATATTTAAATAAATATATGTATAATAAATATATGTATATTTATTAATAATAATAAATAATAAATATATGTATAAATATATGTATATGTATATAAATATATGTATAATATATTACAATATATGTATATGTATAATACTGTAAATGTGTTTTCTTTTTATAATTCCCAGATTATAGCAACAACCTTTTACATGATTACTCTGGTTCTACTTATTATGTCCTTGCTGGACTTCCCAACTGCTGTACTCATCTTTCTAAAATACTGTTTGTCTCATTCACCTCCATATAGTCCAGGTTCCTCAGTTGAGTGCTACTATTCATATTTTGATTTTAATATTTGGATCTCTTAGTTTTGTTTTTGTTTTTTTTTAAATTTTTTTTTCAACGTTTTTATTTATTTTTGGGACAGAAAGAGACAGAGCATGAACGGGGGAGGGGCAGAGAGAGAGGGAGACACAGAATCGGAAACAGGCTCCAGGCTCCGAGCCACCAGCCCAGAGCCCGACGCGGGGCTCGAACTCACGGACCGCGAGATCGTGACCTGGCTGAAGTCGGACGCTTAACCGACTGCGCCACCCAGGCGCCCCATGGATCTCATAGTTTTTGATCCACTTTTCCTAATACCTACCAGTTGTTTCATTGTCCTACAGTTTATCAGTGTTCATAGTATTTTTATTTTAGGCTTTCAACTTCATATTGTTTCTCCCATTCACTCACCTATAATGATCTGTCCTTAGCCATGCCATTTACTTAAATTTTACTGAGCTTAATTTAGTACCTGTTTCTGTATTGTTCTGATATTTAGTTTTTTATGGAAATAAAATTCAGATAATAAAATAACTGTTTTGGTCTACAATTCAGTGGTATTAGTATATTCACATTGTTGTGTGACTGTCATCTCTATCTAGTTAGAAACATTTTCATCAACTCAGAAGAAAACTTTTGTGTCCGTTAAACAGTCACTCCCCGTTTTCCTTCCCCCTACTCCTTGGCAACCACTAATGTGATTTCTGTCTTATTGATTTGTCTAATTGATTATTGCTATTCTGCATATTTCATATGAACAGAATCATACAATATGTAACTTTTTGTGTTTGGCCTCATTCAAAATGTTTTTGAAGTTCATACACAATGTAACATGTATTTCAGTACTTCATTCTTTTAGGCTAAGTAATATTTAATTATATTTGTATGCTATTGAAAGTGTTTGTATACACTGAAAATAAGTATTCAAGATGTTAAGTGTAATCTCTAGAATAATCACTTAAGGAAAAAGCTAAAATACACACACACACACACACACATATACATATACATGTACATATACATATACATATACATATACATATACATAATGAGTGTGTAGTATATAAACGCTTGACCCTTGAACAACACAGAGGTTGGAGTGCTGGCGCCTCCCTTGGTGCAGTTGAAAATCCATGTGTAACATTTGACTCTCTGAAAACTTAACTACTAATAGCCTACTATTGCTCTTAACCTTTGCTGCTGAATTTTTTATTTCAATTATCATACTTTCTGCTGCACAATTTTTATATGTTTTTTTTTAGTAGTAAGAAGTTTATTTTATATATATGTTTATGTGTGTGTGTATGTATATATACATTATATATATAATGTATATATACACATATATAATTTTTTATATATATATTTAATTATATATATATAATTTTTTTTTTCAACGTTTATTTATTTTTGGGACAGAGAGAGACAGAGCATGAACGGGGGAGGGGCAGAGAGAGAGGGAGACACAGAATCGGAAACAGGCTCCAGGCTCTGAGCCATCAGCCCAGAGCCTGACGCGGGGCTCGAACTCATGGACCGCGAGATCGTGACCTGGCTGAAGTCGGACGCTTAACCGACTGCGCCACCCAGGCGCCCCATAATTTTCTTTTTTTTAAGTGAGCTTTATGCACAACCCGGGGCATGAAATCATGACCCGGAGATCAAGACCTGAGTTGAGATCAGAAGTCAGATGTTTAACTGATTGAGCCACCCAGGCGCCCCTTATTTATTTACTTATTTTCAAATTTTTATTTAAATTCCAGTTAATTAACATATAGTATAATACTGGTTTCTTGAGTAAAGTTTAGTGATTCATCACTTACATATAACACCCATTGCTCAACATAAGTGCCCTCCATAATACCCATAGGCCATTTAGCCCATCCCCTGCCCTACTCACCTCCCCTCCAGCAATCCTTAGTTTGTTCTCTATAGTTAAGAGTCTCTTATGGTTTGCCTCTCTTTTTTTTCCCCTTTCCCTGTGTGTTCATTATTTTATATCTTCAGTTCCACACGAGTGAAATCATATGGTATTTGTCTTTCTCTGACTGACTTATTTCACTTAGTATAATACACTCTAGCTCTGTCCGTGTCATGGCACATGGCAAGATTTCAGTCATTTTGATGGCTGAGTAATATTCCATTGTATATACACACCAAATCTTCCTTATCCATTCATCAGTTGATGGAGGTTTGGGCTTTTTCTATAATTTGGCTATTGTTGATAATGCTGCTATAAACATTGGGGTGCATGTGCCTCTTCAAATCAGTACATTTGTATCCTTTGGGTAAATACCTACTAGTGCAATTGCTGGGTCATAGGTATTTCTATTTTTAACTCTGAGGAACCTCCATACTCTTTTCGGAGTAACTGCCCCAGTTTGCATTCCCACCAACAGTGTAAGAGGTTTTCCCCTTTCTCGACACCCTTGTCAACATCTCTTGTTTTGTGTGTTGCTAATTTTAGCCATT